TTTGATACTGTGACGAGCGTCCCGAAGCTTCATCAGCGTCGCCCTGGAAACAAGCGAGGAACACCTGCCCGTCCTCGTCACAGGCTGATCGGTCACAGCTGCAGCTCATCAGGCGGCGGCTACATAAGCCACGCAAGCCCTGCCACCTTTGAGACACCCTCCATGAGACTGAGCATTAACGCGCCCTCTCATTTCTCCCACAGACAGCAGCGTGTGACTGACCAGCCCCACAGGAGCACAGCACGGACCCACTGCACTGGGAAGAAGGAAGAGAGCACTCACGGCACCGGAGCACCCACCTGGACCTTTCTCTTTATCACCCCCTCTAGTAAATAAATCCACCCTCTGGGGCATTTATTGAGCCATCCTTGTCGTGTGATTCTTCACCCTGTGACAATATATATACAGTGGGTATAGAAAAGGATCAGGAATTTGACAAAGGCTACGTTCACACTGCGAGCCTTAGTGCTCAATTCCAATTTTTGCTCCGATCCGATTTTTTCCGATTCCAGTGTGAATCGATCATGGTTCTGAACTGAGGACATAAAGTAAACCGATTATGCGTTTATTTATAGTGTGATCTGCCAAAGAGGCCAACGGAAGTATGCGCAGGCAATATGAAATATAAAGACAAAGATGTGACCGAAGAGAGCAGAGTTTTGAAACTTTTATGATACGAGCCCTTATGTTGTGCTTGTATATAGAGTTGTCACTGTAGTACTTATGAGTTCTGGCACATCACTGTGCTTCCACTCTACCTTTCGTAACTGTCTTGATAACTTTGGGTGTGTAAAATCTTAGAAGTGACTCCCATGAGCGTGATAAATGTTGATCTAGAGTGACGTAAAAGTCGCATGAATTCCGATATGACTGCTCACACTGCAAAACATCTGACCTGAATCGGATTTAGTGCCACATATGGAAGTGGCACAAATCGGAATTGAAAAGATCAGATTCCATGGGGTTTGTGCTGCTCACACTGTCATGAGTAAAACGGAGTCACAAGTGAGCAAAAAAATTGGATTTGGGCCACATTTGCCTGCAGTGTGAACGTAGCAGTGGTCATTGTGTGCACGTGAAGATTCTGAGCCCATGTGGAAAAAGGTGTTATGGTCAGATGAGACTAAAATTGAATTATTTGGCCTCAACACCAAACGATATGTCTGGCAGAAATCCAATACAGCTCAGCATCCAAATAACAGCATTCCTCCAGTAAAGCATGGAGGTGCTGATGTCCTGTTATGGGGTGTTTCTCTGCAGCAGGCACTGGAGCACTTGCCAGGATAGAAGGAAAAATAATGGGGCAAAAATACATTAAATTCTTGAGGAAAATCTGCTGCCCTCTGCCAGAAAGTTGTCAATGAGAAGAAGGTTTACCTTCCAACATGACAATGACCCAAAGCACACAGCAAAACTGAGCACACAGTGGTTGAAGGAGAAAAAGGTGAATGTCCTTGCATGGCCTCGTCAGAGCCCAGACTTAAACCCCACTGAAAATCTGAGGAAGGACTTGAAGACTGCAGTCCACAAACACTCACCATCAGATTTAACTGAACTTGAGCAGTTCTGCCAAGAAGTGTGGACACATATTGCAAAGTCTAGATGTGCAAAGTTAGTAGAGACAAATCCCAACAGACTAAAGGCTGTAATTAAAGCAAAAGGTGCTTCAACAAAATACTGACACAAGGGAGTGATACTTTTTTCAACAAGTGATTCTGTTTTATTTATTTTTTTATTTTTTTCTGACAAGTTGGTGTTATATCTTTCACTTGGATGTTAAAAGCTGCAGTAAATATAGCTGGATAAAACAAAACCTTCAGGCTGCAAAGAACAAGATGCGATTATTTTAAAGGGGGGTGATTCTTTTCTATACCAACTGTATGTGTGTGTATGTACTGTGTGTATATATATATATATATATATACATACAGTACATACACTGTATCTCTCTCTATATATAGAGAGAGAGAGACAGCCATTAGCGCTATCTTGATACTGGAATCTCTAACTTTGATACATTGCCTAGAAATATAACATTTGTATTGAAAGATAAATATAACAAGGCTAGAACATGACAATAATAATTTATTTGTTGTTGTTGTTTTCTTTTGTTTGTTTTTTACATCTCTCTGTCTGTCAAAAGGAAGATCCTGAATTACTCCTTATTGTCTCTGCAAACACAGGCCGCTAAACCGGTGTGGCCAGTAAGGTCTTGGTTGTACCTACTTTGGAGTGTAGAGGAGGTACATTATGTATTGTAAATAGCAGCCTATAACAAGAGACTATCTATGTTTTCTCTTTATTGAGAGGTTAATACAAAGTTCTGTCATGAAACTCTAGATGCTGCAGACCGATAGTTTCTAACTCAATCTGATATAATCACATCATTATTCACGTGGCGCAGCTTATCGGTTTTCACATCAGCAGCCAATGAGCTTGCTGCTCAGTATTCAAATACTTGGCTAGTGCTTGCTGTTGCAGTACGTTTCAGAAAGCATCTGAAATCAACAACTAAGATAAGTGAAAGCTCTTTTTCTCCATTTCACTGAGCATATTGCATGGTCTGCCTTATTAATTTCTAAATGAGCAACCATAATCATTTGTAACAGTCTTGCATTCTCATGCAGGAGAAAAATACTAAGCATATAAGCAGTAGAATTTATGCAACTGTATTTATACAGCTGCAACAACAAGCAGTCTAGTGTATGTAATCGCTGTGAGGACACACAGACAAGCTACAAACATGAGAACAGGTTTAAATGAAATAAGCATTTGTACTTGTATACACTTCAACCAGGGTTCACAATATTTAGCGTAACCTCAATGTCAAATTCATTTATTTAATACGTATGAATTCTCTCATTATAAACAACAAAGTGCAGATGTACGTGTGATGTAAGTATAAGAGATTTATTCATCACATAGTGTAGATTCACTGAGTTTAACAGGAGTGTTTTTAAAGTGCATAAACTAACGCTAGACTGAGCTTATGATGATGTTCTTTGGTAATGTAATGTTTTTTGCTCGGTTTCTGTAGCTGCTTTTTGAATAACTGAGGAAATGTAAGCATTATAATTAGTAACTTACGATGTTTCTATTCATTTGTTATCATGTTAAATACAAATTCAGTCATATTAAAAACATTAGGCTGCTTTTAGCCTTACGCTGGAGTTGGTTCACTTTCTCGCAATGAAACGAAGTAAATAATTACATAAATTAGCACGACAATATTGTGTATCGGCGATCTCACAGGCTGATGATAGGACGATATGAAAATTGAGCATATCGCCCAACACTAGCTTGTATTGTCCATTTCTGTGTCTCCTGCTTTATTGGGGGGTTATTTCATGTATGTTATACAGTATGTGCAGCAGCAGTATTTCTTACATGCTCACAGCAGCATGTCTGTGGATGTATTAGCAGTAGCAAGTCTTGGTAATTGCTCTGCAGCAGCAGCAGCAGCTTAGCAGATCTATTCCGCCAAGACCAAACACGTTAACACTGCCATGTATATTACCATGCTAAACTCTCAGAGAGTTGTCATGACAGAAAAGGGATAGTTCACCCAAAATTAAAATTAGCTGTTAATTTACTCATCTTCAGGCCATCCATGATGTAGGTGATTTTTTTTCTTCAGTAGAACAGTAAAGAAGATTTTTAGCTGAAATCGTGGTACTTGATGATTCGTAAAATGCTAGTCCACAGCACCCGTCACTTTGAGAGTTAAAAAAAGCATATCAAGCAACAAAAAATTAATCCCCATGGCTCCTGACGATATGAGTTCTTATGAAGTGAAACAATCAGTCTGTGCAAGAAACTAAATGTTATTTACAACATTATTACCCATAATCCATAGTCTCAGGCAATCGGTCTGGAGTGATGTCTGGTCCACGAACTAATCATTTTTTTTAACTAGTTCTTTTTGGTGGACTATTTGAAGTTTGTGGCTTGACAAGTTATTCAATCAAAACTCACTTTCAGACGCCTGTCAGTCACTCGTACTTGAAATTAGCCAAAATACCAGCGTACCTGATCCTGTGATGTTGGTTTTTGCCAACTCATTCAACGGTCCAGTACCTCCAGCAGTCACTAAACTGAGGAAATAGTTTGATTCGGACTGAAGACCGATGAGCCACTGATATGCTTGTGCGTGAACCCAGCACTTGAATGAAGGGGTCAAATTAAAGTTTTTATGGTTTCACATTGTTTATGTAAAAAGGTAAAAAGACTAGTTTATTGATTTTAAATGCTTTAGACATGTAAAGCATCCAAGCTTCTGTCACAGTTGGTTTTGGGTGTTGGTTTATGTTCATGTTTTCATGTCTTTTATTTTGTAGATTTGCCACAGTCCTCTGTCATGTGATTCCCTGTTCCTTCATGTGTCATGCTTTATTTGGTTTATTGTTTTGACATGTGGTATTTTGTTCTGCCTTCTGTTTGGTTCTTGTTCCTTAGCTCATCTCTGCCATTGGTTGGATTGTGTCATGTGACCCCATTTGTTTGATATATATATATATATATATATATATATATATATAGCCCTCATGTTTCATTGTCCATTGTTTAGCTTTGTTCGTGTAATCCACTGTTTGGTGAGTTTGTTCATGTTTTTGCCAAGCCAAGTCTTGTTCATTGTGTTTCTGCTCACTTTTGGATTTTATTAAACTGCACATGGGTTCTCATTCAACTTGCCTCCAGTGGACGTTTGTTACGGTTTCACATCACTATTGGCTGCTTTAATAATATAATTGCCTATACGTTACATCATTGCATGATTACATAAACTGGTGAATCAGGTTTTTGAACCAGTTCATTAAAACGAACTGTCCAAAAGAACCAGTTTGCGGAAAAGAATCAGACTTCCCCGTGTGCCTGAGGCTGTGGATTACAGGTAATAATGTTATGCAAATAATGTTTCTTGCAAAGACTGATCATTTCACTGAAGGCCCATGGGTATTAATTTTGTTTCCCTGATATGCTTTTTTTTTTCACTCTCAGAATAATGGTAGCCTTTGACTTGCATATTATATCACCAATGACCACTGTTACTGTTCTACTGAAGAAAAAAAGTCACCCATATCTTGGATGGCCTGAGGATGAGTAAATTCACAGCAAATTGATGTTCTATAAAATGTTTATGAAAATCTATTAGAAACCTTTATATTAGAAATCTATTAGAACTTAGAAAATCTATGGCTCAAGCTCTGGTGGTTACTGTTCTACTGAAGAAAAAAAGTCACCCATATCTTGGATGGCCTGAGGATGAGTAAATTCACAGCAAATTGATATTCTATAAAATGTTTATGAAAATCTATTAGAAACCTTTATATTAGAAATCTATTAGAACTTAGAAAATCTATGGCTCAAGCTCTGGTCTTTAGTCAATACCTTCTCTGAGTCTGATTGGTTTGTTTGACCCGATGTGATGTTTTGATGCTTCATGTGATCCGGAAGATGTCTAGAGTCTAGACTTTCCGCACCTGCGGCACTGAAGTCCTAATGTCCACATAAAAAAAATAATTAAATAAATAAGAAGAATATTCTCTGGTTTAATATCAATACAATTAATAACTGCTTTCTGTGAGGGCAAGTAACTCAGCAACACGTTGAGACACCTATGTCTGTGCATATCTGCAACACCTTATTTTATAATATAAACGTAGGTTAAATAAATATGTCAGGATAATTCACTCACACCAGTAGTTGACAACTGTGTATGACACTGAAGGCAATACATATCAATATTCAATATCGACTGATATATCAAACATGGGCAGTGAACTGTTCCCATGGCTAAAATATAATTATTTTGTGAACATCATTGCACAGTGACTGGTACTCACCTGATCATTAGATTGTATTATCTGAGCAGGTGAGATCTGTTGAATAAAGAATAATGTTCTATATATTAATATAAGTACAATAAATAATTGCCATTGTAATTTGTTCTAACTGACTGCCACAAACCTACAACCCTTCTCATTATATCATAAATATACTTTTCTGTTTAATAGCTTGATTGCAGTCACATGATTCTGATGACACATGAAATTCAGATGGAGGGCAGGAAGTGAAAAGCAGAATGGATGAGATGGAGGAAAGTCCATACTGTACTGGTTTAGACACTATTCAAGAGGAAGGTATAAACAGAAAATCACAACATATGTTGGACGTGATCCTTATGTAATGAAGAGGAGCACATTTTCAACTAAACTGAAATACTTTCCTGCCATTGGGGCGGTGGATATAGGCTAAGCAACTAACCCTGATTGCAAACAAGCTATTTCGAAAGTGAATCCCGCATTTAAATGAGTTATGCGGGATATCCTGAAACTGTGCTGCATGTACAGGGTATGGCCATTGGTCCTGTTAGCAGCATGTAAAATAAAAGTTTTATTCAAATTCTTAATTGATTATAGTCTAGAAAGCGAGAAAATAGTGCTTCCATATAATCACTAAAAAGCTGTCACTTCAATGTATCGCAGTCTCACAATATTCCGTGGCGGTGGATATAGGCTAAGCAACTAACCCTGATTGCAAACAAGCGATTTCGAAAGTGAATCCCGCATTTAAATGAGTGATGCGGGATATCCTGAAACTGTGCTGCATGTACAGGGTATGGCCATTGGTCCTGTTAGCAGCATGTAAAATAAAAGTTTTATTCAAATTCTTAATTGATTATAGTCTAGAAAGCGAGAAAATAGTGCTTCCATATAATCACTAAAAAGCTGTCACTTCAATGTATCGCAGTCTCACAATATTCCGTTATAATCAATGAAGCTCTCTAAACTGCACATATAATATGTGACCCTGGACCACAAAACCAGTCATAAGGGTCAATTTTGTGAAATTGAAATGTATACACCATCTCAAAGCTGAAAAATCATCTTTAAAGTTGTCCAAATTAAGTTCTTAGCAATGCATATTCCTAATCAAAAATTAAGTTTTGATATATCTACAGTAGGAATTTTACAAAATATCTTTATGTAACATTATCGTTACTTAATGTCCTAATGATTTTTGGCATAAAAGAAAAATAAAAAATTTTGACCCATACAATGTTTTTTTGGCTACTGCTACAAATATACCCCAGCGACTTAAGACTGGTTTTGTGCTCCAGGGTCACATATCTTATTTCCATCGTGTCTATGTGTGAATTCTGACTGTCTCATGCTGAATGCGTGAGAGTTGTCAGCCCTGTATCTATTTATATATTTCTGTGTTAATATTTTAAAGGGGTCATATGATGTGATTTCAATTTTTACTTTCTCTTTGGAGTGTTACAAGCTCTTGGTGCATAAAGAAGATCTGTAAAGTTGCAAACACTAAAGTCTCAAATCCAAAGAGATATTCTCTATAAAAGTTAAGAGTCAGCCACACCTACCTAAAACGG